CTCTCCCTCCCACCACCACATCCTTCCGGCCCGGGCCGCGACCCTCGACCCCCGACAGCGACCCCACCTCCCTCACCCTCCACCGCGGATTACGTACTTTATTAATTTTCCTCTTTACACACGACTGTGCCCCTTATGAGGTCCCTTCACATTTTCTTTTTTCCGGACGGATGGCCCGGGCCGAGCGGATCGTGCGGCACCCTCCCCGCCCCTCGCCCTGGCGGCCCGGTCCCTCCCGTCCAACCCCCTTCTTTCCTTTCATTCCTGGCATAGCAGCCCCCCACCCCCCCTCTTCCCTCATTAGCGCGCGCACAGCTTTTGGATTATATGAATAGCTGCTCTGAAGTATCGGGGGTAGGAGGAGGGGGGGGGGTGCCGTTCAATTGACGATGAAGCTGGGATAGCCCCCGGGCTCGGCATGCGCACACAAGCGGTGCACAGCCTGCTGTGTGTTGCTGCTGACATGCTCCCCCATCCCTACCCCCGCTTTATTGTTCCAGTCCCGATAATCTGCCCCCTCCACGACCCCTCACATCCCCGCCCGGGCCGCACAGCGCCGCGCAGCGCACACCCCGGAAGGGAAGTAGCGCATCGGCTGCTGTGAAAGGCTCGCCCTGCTCCGCTCTGCTCCGCTCTGGGCCGCAGGCCCCTCCCTCGTCCCGTCCCCTATTGTCACCAGCTGCCTGCCGAGCCGAGTAACGCCAGTAACGCCCGTTAAAACCTGGCCGCTGGCCGGTCTTCTCGCCGCTGCCTGCTCAGAAGAAAAGGGAGGGTTGAAGAAAGGAACCAACAACAGGAACGGGGTGGAGGGGCAGCTCGACGGAATCAGAAGAGACAGTGGCGCTCCGCTGGCGTCGGCGGCTTTTTGCTTTATTCCGGAAACAGTTCGCAAAACCACGCTAGGCGCTGCCCCTTTTCTGTCCTTTTTTCCGAGCGCACGGCTTACTTTGTTCGCATCGGCAAATCGCAGCCCAAGGCAATATTCCGTTTCTTGACATTAGCGTTGGACCCTTCAAGTTAACACCGAGGAGACGCTCCCACTCGCTCCCACCTTGGTTTTCGACCGATAGGATAAACTTTGCGGGGGTGACCTGCTCCCCTGTCAAAGCTAGGCGAGAGCGAGTCCCGCCCCGTCCTACCCTCTCCTCGCTCCTCTCTCGTCCCCCCCCTCCCTTTCTCCCCCTCTCTCTCCTTTTCCACGCCGCAATCTTCCCGTGTGCGCGGTACGCCCCCCCTCCCCTCCCCTCTCTCTCCCCTCTGCCTCACCGCACGCCTCCCGACTTGTGCTAATGAGCTCCAGTCCAAACACACGGCAGCCCAGCCCATGGCTCCCGGACCGCAGAGTACACACTCCCCGCCCTGCCCCACCCCAGCCCGGGTCGCCCTGCCCTGCCATTCTGAAGCAGGCTGCGGAATCGTTTGTGAGTCGGTTGGGTGTTGGGCGGGTGGCCTCGTTCTAATGCCTCCAGGGAGCGGCGCTGCGCCCCTACGCCCCCGCCGCCTCCGCAGCTCGGCAGTGTCGTCGTCGCCGTGAATGTGAATCCCCCAGACAACACTTTACGACGCCATCTGAGCGCCCCTTCCTCCCCCGCCCCTTCCCCTCCCACTGATAGCAGCAGCGCGAGGCGTAGCGCGGACGGGGAGGGAGCGGCTGCGGCAGCGGGCACAGATGGGAGGACGGCGCCTGGATAGATAGGCGGCCATCAGCGCGGTCGAACAGCTGAGTGGAGCGGGTGGCCTACCCCGCCGTCCGCGGGCGCTCCAGCCGCCCCAGCCGCTCCAGGTGGCGGCCGCCCCGTGCCGCGCCCGCGGGGCCGGGTCGGGCCGTGCATTGTGCCCCACCGCCTTCG